ATAATAAACTATAGTGCAATATCTATCAAACTGTCGAAGTCTCTTCCGATGGGCGAACTAAATATCTTAATTGCAGTCACCTCGCCACTAGAAGACTCTCCACCAGCGAGCTCGCTACTAATGTAATCTCGTCCCTACTAAGTCCCCACCAGTAAACTCACCATAAAGGTCGCCACCTACTTTGATATAAATTTAAAGCTTTAGCCTACTCTACTAAAAATAAAGTCTTGCAAGCCTCGCCATAAGAGTGCCTGTAAATATTTGGAATATCCACCTTTGACTTTCTTAACAATAACAGCTAATTAGTGGCTCGCGGAAGGTAAGTGTGATGTTTCTCCCCTTGCTGTTCACAGAAGAAGTATATTAGCCGTTCTTCATAATAGCAAGCAAAAGATTGTAATTCGATTCAATATTATTATTTTCCAAAAATTGACGCATTAGCAATAAAAAAGAAGGTCGTAATGCAAGTTTATGTGAGATGGAAAATGAATTTATGTGTGTCTGATGGAAAAACTAGGTGCCTCTGTCTTATGACTCGCAGACCCCGCATTTTCGGTTCCAGTCCTTTTATTGGTTGAAGGGGGTAAGTCTTTAAAGACACTGTAGTGCTGTGGTGTTTTATCTGTGGAAGGGGATAATTTTTTAAAGAAACTGTGTTGCTTTGTTGTTTTATTGTTTGAAGTGGATAATTTTTTAAAAAAACCGTGTTGCTGTGTTGTTTTATTTTTTGAAGTGGATAATTTTTTTAAGAAACTGTGGTGTTACATCGCTAGGAGAGTATAGCAGTGTAATTTGGTATTTAATCTGACTTGATAACGTAAATTGGTCACCGTAAAGTTTCGAAGCTGACGTTACGAGCTTCAGCCTTTCGTCAGAGCGAATGTGTTATCGGGTGGTCGCTTATGAAAAAGAATACCACGTAGACAGAACTTATTAAACGTAGGTAATATTGCTATTAACATAAGATATCCATCTTTCTTCAGACATACTTAACATGGAAAACATATTTTATTAGTATGTGAACGAAACAACTCAACTGGCTTGGTGCGAATCGTCCGAGCAGGATACGAATAGACTGGGTACGAAACGGCTTGTGGACGTCCAAGCAATTTTGATGAGTTCTTAATAATTTTTTATCGCGCTTTAATATGCCATGTTCGTGCCGAAGGCGCGTTATGGTTTTCTGGGTTTCGAGAGGTAATGGGTTGAGCATTACTAGGAGTGAGCTTTTGAAACAAAGGTGATAAAGTGTACTTATATCTCTCGGAAAAGAAACACGACAAAAAACACGACAGAGGTTAGGTCATTGTTATTCCATCGAGTTATAGTTTTAACTGCGCGCTTCACGAGTCGAGTCGCCTCAATATTTTAAAACGACATGTCAACCCAATCCAGTGTAAGTCAACTTTCATACTTGCAAAGGAAATAACCAAGTAAGTTGAACTAAACTTTATTACTTGATGGTGAGATAACTCGCCTTGGTAGCGAGATCGATCAAATATTGGAGACGAGCTTGCTGGTAGCAAGTCTTCCTGGTGGTGAGGTGAACGAATACCAAATAACCAAATCACCTCATTTTTCCAAAAGTTTGAAAAGTATCGGCTAGAATGTTAAGTGATTGTTTCTAACACTATGGTCATGGCCCCATGAATGCTCTCCGACCGCGAAATAACCGCACACGCAAATGATCCCCAAAATGAATAAACAAAAGCGAGGGAAAATCATGGGAACATTATTTCTTCTTGATACTAGACAACGATCTTAAACCCAATATGCGAATAGACTCGTAACCATCCTGCTTTGATTATTTAATGGCTAGAAATTGAGGGATTATTGGTGCTACGGCACGAACGACATGCGAGTGTGTGAGAGTCTTGTAGGCCTCTCGCGTGCTCGCCAACTCGAAACGCGCGGACTTCTCCGCTCGTGTCGTAGCGCACCAGGAAAAGTCTGCTCCAGCCCACCAATTTTGGTAATCGTGTATTATTATGGACCAAATTGTGTTGACCAATGTTTATTTCTTTGAACCCTGTTTTTGTCCATGTTTACAACGAAAGAATAGTAACGTTTTACGTCAGTTACAAGAAAAGTTTCTGACGAAAGGCTAACGCTTGAAATGTCAGCTTTAAAACTCTTTACGGTGGCTAGTTTAAGTTATCAAATAAGGTTGACAATACTTAATTACCTTGTTATACTTTCCCACCAACACAGCAGTACAGTTTCTTTAGAAATTTACCCCCTTTGTTTACAAGAAGGGTTGCTTCGTTCGACCTGTCATCACAGGTTGCTTAGGCTGCTTTGTTAAACGTGGTTGAAAATTGTTTTCTTCAGAGAAGCCGCTTAAACCGATGTTTGTGAACCTCGATTTAGCGCATTGAAAATGCAAAGTGGTAACTATTTGATATCTTTGGAAAATTCAGTTTTTCGATTCTCACTTAACATGTTTGCCGATATGAATGGGGTATAAGATGAAAGGCATGACTTTCTTATTGCAAGCTAGCAGATAAACCAGAAAATAATAATAAAAAAAATGACCTTTCATATTGTTAGTCTGCTTTTCGTTTGAGTCTGGCGGAGTACAGTCAAGAAGATTCTTCAAGCAACAAGTTCCTCTTCGTCGCTCGCGGGCTAATTTTCTCTGAAAAAAATAGACACATCCATTGAAAAATGCGACCTTTAGAGCACCCTTCAACGCGTGCACAGTATGAGGCATTGTAATTCTTAGCTTATTTTGGAAACAAAGGCCCCAAGCAAGTAATAGCGTATAACCTATTTCCACACAGTTTCTATAAAGGGCAAAAACTGCTTCAAGCAACAAACTCCTCTTCACCGCTCACGGGCTAATTTCTTCCTGATAAATTGGACACATCCATTGAAGAATGCGACCTTTATGGTACTCTTCGACGTGTGCACAGTATGAGACATTGCAATCCTGAGCTTATTTTGGAAACAGAAGCCCCAAGCAAGTGATGGCGTATAACCTATTTCAACCCGGAAAATTAAACGGCGCCACTCTGTCGCAAGTACATTTATACACGCGTCGATCATTGGATTAAAAGGCTCAACTTTAACTTTCACCTTTATTGCTTTCATCCCCTTTGATATCAAAAGGTTATATCAACATTTAGATTACCATTTAGAAAGAAAAAAACACGGTTTCTGTAAAGGGAAAAAAACTGCTCCAGGGCATGCTTCTTGATGCAAGAAAAAGTAACTGAAATCGACTATAACGGAACATCTTAAATAAACATTTTCAATATATTTAAGTGCTTTTCAATGTCTTAAGCCGCCTGAATAACGCATGAACGGTATCACGGTCACCTTCAGCATTTTTTTTTCTCCGGCAAAATGTACTTTCACGTCATAATCCTGATAACTAATGCAAATCATTATTGCGTTTAGTTGTTGTTAGACTGACCTGCATCCTCAAGAAAAACTTCTTGCTAACAAGAGTGATATCATATGGAGTGATTCCTAGCATTAATTAAGGGCTTTTGATATGACTTGGGAGGAAAACATTAAAAAAAAGATAAAAAATGAAATTGTAAGCAATTAGGTTTTGAATTTGGCGACAACAATAACAAAATATTCATGAGATAGAGACACACACCTCTTTAAGAGCGAATGACGTGGCAATATCAGTAATTGTAAACTTCACGAGTGACTGTAAGGACAAAGAGAAGAATTTACAGGTACAGTAAAACATATTTGACGTTTACTTTCAGTTTAGGTAGTAGTTTTTTTTTTTAACTTCCTGAGCAAATTAATGACAAAGTACTTGAAAGAGTAAGCTTCGTTGTTATAAACGACACCAAAGGACACAAATGAAAAAAAAATAATGAATTTAGAATTGTGGAGACTAAGTTGATAAGATCAAGAGACACAAAAAAACACTATTTTCCATTTATGTAACAAAGTATAATCATTAATTTGCTGTTCAAAGCGTTGAGTGAAACTTGTATCTCTAAAAAAGCAGTATCATTTTTTCTTTATGGTCGCCACAATCAACTGAGTGTACTTCAATGAGATTATCAATAATTGGAAGCAATTTGCTTGCATTCAGCATTATTTATCCTTATAAAATCCGTCAAGAGTTTTCTTAATTAGCCGTACCGTGACTTTTGTTGACCGTGCAACCAAAACCTGAACTCATTTTTAAGAAGTTCATCGACAAATGCAATAAAAATAGAGTATTTCAATTAGCTGAGTTCATCCCCTGTTAATGGAAACTGCCTCAAGAGTCTAAAAGTGGAGCCCTAGTTTGACTGAGTGAACTGTAAGATTTTTTAGTATAAAATGTTCCAATTGTGGAGGAACCACTATGATTTGGGAGTCGTTTGAAAAAGCTCTGGCGTTTTATTTCAATTTATGCAAGTCTAAACGTACACGAAATTTAGCTATAATTCTAATTTGAATCATTTTATTTGATTCCTATTTCGGAATAGAATGCTGATTCCGATCTCGATTAGTAGTTTTACTGCATGTCACTCACTGCACGTGATCCTTTGGCGTCGGAGACCTATGATTTGACAGTTTCAGTTGGTCACGTGCATCCACGCACGTGAGCAACTGATCTTCATGATACACAAATATTACGATAACAAAAATTCCAGAACTTCAAAGCGCGTTTCGTCCAGAATAATTGCCACGAGAAGCTGGTAACTGCTTCCCTCTTAAAGTTGCCCTGTTACCTACTTTCTCGACATTTTGGCTGTAAAATTTTATTTCCTTACTCGGTAAGCTTTATTCGAATTAACTTCAGCAGTATCTTTTAAATGCAACACTGACGCTTGTAAAATAAAATCAGAGAGAAAGAGATAAATACTTGTTGGAAATTTTTTCTTGTCAGGTATTTCTTTATCTGAAATGACTGCTCTGTGGTAAGTTTTCATTTTTATCTCTTTCCTTCCTCAGTTTGCTGCAGCGGAGCTCTGCGGCAATTTCAGCTTCCGAAATTAAACAACCATATTTGACACGAAATCAACAAACGAAATTACATAATGATCACAACGACGTCTCCTGTCAATTGGTCAAACGTCGTAGAAATAACTGACACTTCCTTACATTTACACGACATCAGATACAAAGCATACATCGCGGTTATGTTTTTCATCCTCACGGCTGGTTTCCTTGGCAACGTAGTGACAATACTCGTCCTTTATCAACCGTCACTGCGCAGTGAAACCTTGACCCCACTCATGGTGAACCTTGCCTTTGCTGATCTTTTCCTAACCATATTTGGGTACCCCACGTCCATCACCATGCTCCTTGCTGGAAGAGACATCGGAAATGATGAAACAGGTTGTAGCTGGTACGGTTTCGCTAACGGAACTGTAGGAATTGCATCTATTGTCACCTTCACCGAGATGACTATTGTTTTGAGTTATATCATGCATCAAATGAAGCCCAGATACAGGTGCTCACGAAAAGTGACCTGCGGTCTCACTGTAGCGCCTTGGTCTTATGGTGCGATGTGTATGCTTCCCCCTCTTCTTGGTGTGACGCACTTTTCCCCAGGGGCTGCTGGCATGAACTGCGGTCCTGATTGGATAAATATTTCAACCATTGGCATGGTCTACAGTTTGCTGCTGGTCACAGCTGGATTTTTCGTTCCACTGATCATCATCTCTCTTTGTTACTTCAAGATCTTCAGGTTAGTATTCTTGGCTCAAATGCTAAGGTGACTATGTAATGTAACAGCGCTATTTAGGAGTTCTCTTATTGAGCTGAGCAATTGCAATGTGGCATATGATTTGTAATCAAAATTTATTGAAACTCCTAAACTTTTTAGTTCAAGAGAACTAGAGAGGAGACAGTTGAATGACTCGAAGTATTTTTATCTGACTGAGTTAGAGTAGCAATTTTGCAATTACAGAGCCAGAAATTTAGATATTTAGATATTTCCCAAAGCTAGATCAAAGCAGTTTTTAAAAATGGTATTTATTCTCCATGTAGAGTCGCTTGAAATAAGCTAAACCATTCATATAAAGTATTCATTTCCATTAGTTTGATCCTCTTAATACTAAATCAGTGACTCACTTAGTAGTTAGAGCGCTTTTCGATTGAATGTTGTAAAACCAAACCCAAAGTTATCACAACAGCCAATCAGAATAAGAGGAAATATCACAAGGTGCCAATGGGAAGGCAGAGTGAAAACTTGTAAACTGCGTAGAGCGCGGGAAAACGCGGGTGACCAAGGCGCGATTGGTTTTAGGTTTTGCTTATGATTGGACGAGAGTGTGGTGCAAGTTTTGTGGACCAATCATTACCCTTGACAGACATTTGTAAATTACTCTACTTTCATCTGCGTAACATTTTCTTACCAGGCTCCTCCGTGAAGATCTCGTTCCAGGTAATAGACCCATAAGATTGCGGCGGAGAAAACGGCAAATTAAGTTACTGCGACTGACTGTAGTGGCCATCACTGTGTTTATACTGAGTTGGTCTCCGTACTGTATGGTCAGCATTATGAGTATCTTCAGGGGCGATCATTTGCTTTCACCCGGCGAAGCTGAAATTCCTGATCTTATGGCAAAAGCGTCAGTGATCTACAACCCCTTCGTGTACACAGTCATGAATAGACGTTTCCGTCTGACGCTGTGGGCGGTTGTATCTCGTAAGAGTCATAGACAGCGACTTTCTAGTAAAAGTAAGGAATCAAGTACTTCTGTGCATAATCGTATCACAGATAGTAAGAGTTTGAAGGTGGCTTTTAACGTGTAGGCCTATCAGAACTATCCATCCATAATTATATGTAGTCTCACATAGAGTTGCTCTTCGAATTCATCCGGATTCCACAATTCTACACAAAAGATAAAACTTTCAGTCTTTATTGTTCTTTTTGTGTACAGATTAAACACAAAGTACGTTGTCATTCTTAAGTGTCAATTAAAAGATAGTTTCATTAGTCCATTTTATAGTTGTGTGCTTAGTTGCCAAGCCTTTGGATAGGAGTGAGGCTAAGGGTGACCTTGTTATGATACTGATACAAATGTAAATTACTTCGTGATACTGGTCTCTATCCCAACAAGATCACCTTCAGCCTAACTCCAAATCAAAGGCTTGGCAACTAAGCACACAACTGTAAAAATAGTCTATTCAGCGTCACTTGTGAAATAATATCCTAATAAAGTCTGAAAAGTTGAAACGAAATGAATCAAGTGTAGGCAACTCATTCTATATTGTAGAAATGTTAGACTAAATTTCTTAAAACCTCTTGTTACTATCAAGTATGTCATCAAATAACTTATCATAATCCTGAGGTTCGTAAACAATAGGTTTATCATCATCATTTTTATCGTTGTCGTCAAACAGAAATTTATAAACTGCTGATGCAGACGATATGTTGTCAAAGTTCTCACCACTGTTGTCATCTGCGTAAAACTTTTTTTCATGGTCATCATCATTATCATCATTTTCATCTTCTTTTTCCTCTTCATAAACATCATTTGAATCATCATCGTTTTCATTTTCATTATAGCGATCTCGATCAACAAAATTTCCGCCATCTAAATATCTTTCTTCATTATCTCTATACAAGCTAATCCTAACCTCGGACTTAACAACAACGCTAAGGTATTTTTTAACACGAGGGATTTTCAAATTCAATTCCGATACATCATCGCCGTCAAACACGTCAGGGAGGAGGTCGGACGACCAAGTAACTCCTTTCTGTTCGTCAGAGAGATGATGCTCCACTTGTGAAAGTTTGCGTTCTTGTTGATTCTTATCACCATGGAAACTCCATAGGTTGTCTACCATCGAGAGGGGTCTTCCTTGTATACTATTGGTTAGCACCAACAGGCAAACGATCAAGAACGTCGTTTTTCCGATCATCGTCTGTTGAGATGAAAATTAAGATTCAGTCACGGAAATGAATAAGATGGCGATGAGAAATGAGATTGGATAAGGTGCACCACTAATGAGGAAAAAGGTAAATAGGATTTGTGGGAAATCTTTTGAAAATTACTGAGTGAACGGAGATTGGTTTGGGAAATGATATGTTTGCTGTCCATGACGTCAGCATACCCGGAGAACTTCCTAATTATTCATAAGGAAGAGATAGCTAGTGATCTATTCCTTTTGTTATCGTCCGAATGACGGCATTGCAGTTAATTATCTGTTACCGAGGGAGATACGAGACCTCTCATTATTTTGTCAGAGTATCAAGACTATTTTTTTTTTAATATTGCGAAAGGCTCAAAAAGAGTTTTTTTTCCCGTGGAAGAATAAGAGCACCAGCACCTGATAATTAATCCTCAAAGTCTCACCAAAGTATTGCAAACAAAAATCGATGAAGATCAGTGAAGTTACATTGAATAAAATTAAAGAGGTGTTTGCTATATCAGGCATAATTAGCCGTAAAATGATGCAATTTATTTCGATCTTGCTGAAATAAGGAATTAGAATTGGGAAAAATTCCAACCCACATTTAATATCTATTTTGTTTCGAGCGTCCTTTGTAATTTATAAGAAGCTGTTTGTCGTGAACGTTAAATAAGGAAAACTGGTCAACTGTAGGTATTGTGAAGTTAACTTTCTTCTCTTCAATTCAATGCCTCCGGCACGAATATGCTGACTATTTTGAAAATCAAACTGAACACACGCAGGCATGTCCATTCTTACCTAAGCTAACTTAAACTTCGTTGACGAGTGCTTTCTTAAATTTCTTGACATTGTGCAAAGTTTTTCCAAGCTTCCTACGTAAGTAATTTAAGAACTGGCCTCAACGTTAAACTTAAAGGAAAACGAAGAATGTAAAAAACCAAGCTTACTTACGACAATGTTATCAGATTTTTTTCCCCAAGTGGCTAGTCTGAAAACGTTAAGTTGTTTTTTACGATGGCTGTTCACAGTTCACCGTCAGTCGGCGACGATCACAAAGATTCTAAAGGTGTGGTCAAAGTTTATTCTTTAAATAAACGGCTGGTTACTTAGCAACGTTCAAACTGTAGCTTGCAAAACAAAAACTGGAGACAACTGGCAAACAACCATTCAATCGAGCTCATTAAGAGTCTCATTGAATTTCCATTCCTAACTCAATTTGTCTCTTTGATAATCTCTGCGAAGCTGTTATTCGCATTTTGAGAGATCGTGATATTTTTGTCGGCACATACATTTGTCGGCGAATGTTCCTGCTCAGCGACCGTTTCGAAAACAAGAAAAAAAAACATGGAAATTCCAGCCAAAATAGATTTTTTGTGAGAAGAAATTGTTTCTGCCTGAGAAATTCTGGTATTAAATGGGAAGAATTAAGACGAAGTACAGCGGTAGTGTTTTTCCTTTTCGTTTTTTCGTCGTGTTTGTTCATTGTGCTTAATTATTCTACCGGTAAAAATTAAACACCTGAGGCGTTATGTTTTGCGTGCGTTCCTGCTATGAAACTTGCCCTCTCTAAATATTTTGGAACTACGGAAAAACACTGAAATTAAAGAGACTTTATTTTCAAATTTATTCGTTTTATTATATTACATATCAGTGCTCCTCACTAAATTTTCAATGACGTCTTTGTTGCCCAGCACTGTAACTGATCTTGACAATTATAAGCCCGCATCACATTGGGACTGTTATTTGAATGGTTAAAGGTTGAAACGTAATGAAATTAGCGCAAGGGTAGACGTTTCCTCCATGCGCTATGCATTGGGGTATGAGTTAAATTACCTGTTTCTGTTTATCGACATGTTGAAGTAGATATCAATTGTGCACAGCACAGACAGCCAAGTTGGAGAGATAGTCTTGCGAATATACCGGTAATCCACGTTTCTGACTGTTATATTTCGTCACACTTTGAAATCTCGGACACCCTCTTTTACAAGAGGAAAATCTCCTAAGGTAGCTTATATTCAGCTTGTATTTTTGTACACCGAAGTTTTCCTTTAAAGGATTAACCATAAGAACACCAAATCATGGTGACTCGTATGTCAGTTTAGGAAAACAGGTGGTAATTTTACATACACACTGTGTTAATAAACTGTAAATCTACAATAATTATCAGATAGAGAAAAAATCAGCTTCCCCAAAATGGCCTTTAGTTGCAACTATTCGTGTCAAATTTTTTGACTGATCATCATCAGTAGGGAAATGGAAAAAGACTTCTCCACATCGGAAAACTTGAAGCTGCAGGTCGAATATTGTGGCTTGATGCTTACATAACGTAAAAAACAATTTCAAATTCGCCGACCGCTGACCTCTCTTCGCCCGCAGTTAAAAACAAAATGGCGCTTAATTCGGCCACTACTGGAGGCAAGATTATTTGTTAACTCGTCATCTTCTCCGATTCAGTTACACTGAGTTTCAGTCAGAATCCTTTAACTATTCATATCATACACCAAGTTGTGAAAGCCAACGGTGCAAAGAATGGAGCTAAACAAGAATGCTCTGGCATACTCTGCCACAACACTGGCTGCGACGATGATGAATTCCATCTTCACGTTTTATTATGTCAAAATTTTCCTCAACGTCTACAAGTAAGTTCGAGAGTGTATTTAGTAAAGCCTTCAGCCGATTTTATTGTAGAGTTTGTGGTTTAATCATAGCAATTGCATTTTGGTTTTCTGAAGTTTAAGCCTGGCTTACTTTAGGAAGCCACGACTGTGAATCTCAAATATTTGAACTACAGATTAATAAATGAATATTAATATGAGATTGATCCTCGAAGTTATGAGCACTACTTAAGCAATGGTGAAAATAAAGCTTGGATGACACTCACCTTATTTTTAAATTTTTATCACATGAAACACAGATTCCATGTTGCCATGGGTCTGTACAGTTACTGTTGTAATAGATTACAGAAGACGTCAAAATGTTTTAAGAACTTTAGTGACACACTGGACTG